ATTGCGAATAATGTCTGTGTGCACTGATACACGCTGCATTATTTTTAATAATGCTGTGTGCACGCTGCATTATTTTTAATAATGCTGTGTGCTATTTTAGCCCGTATAAACATTTACCCCTGGGAATTTCCCTACAATCAAAAAAGACCGCTCCCGTTTTTCAGAAGAACGCTAAAACTTCTCGACATTCGCTGATATAATAAGAGAGAAAACAATAGGTTATTATGACCGTCAGTAATTATTTTTGCATAGCCTCCTCCGCAGGCATCTCTTAATCGTCGAGAACTTATATAATTTAGGCCCCGTTTACACTATACCGGATTGCATCCGAGCGTAGCGATTTTCATACCGGATTCGGCTGCTGTTTACACTACGCCACAGTAATCCGGTACGCGACGTGGAGCAAAAATCACTCCGCTTTGGAGGTGATATGAAAAGTAATCCGGTATGTGTCGGAGTAGTGTAAACAGGCTAATCCGGTACACAACTAATTTTGGCGCGAAATTTGTAATATATTACAAGACGAATTAAAAATGGTCGCCTTCAAACAATTGATTATACTTACTTTTACGGCAGCAAGCGTCCTTCAACTAATGGCTAGTCTATTTTGTCTGTCGACTAGCTATTATTCATCAAAGCGACGACTCCGGCAAGCACTGGTAACTTCAACTTTCCGTGCAAAACGAAAGGGCAAGAGAGAACGTAAACAACGAAGATTTTGGATAAGACCAGGACGGAGTGATTCTTGGTGGAAAGTCAATTTCCGAGTCTGTCCATGTAAAATTTGGCTCTTTTTCGTTTGTCTTGGACATTCTTGCGTTCGTTTGTCTGGCAAAGTCAGCTCGTGGATTAAATTAGCGGGAAACTGGCTCTGTTTCCATGGCAACATCAAAAGTGCTGAGCTAGCATCAAAGTGAAACGGTGCAATGCAGCGTAGTGTAAACACCCTTGTTTTTCACTTCGGAGTGAAAATTAATCCGGTATGAAAAGTAATCCGGTATAGTGTAAACGGGGCCTTTGTTATTCAAATAACTGATGTTCTTATTCCTGCGGAGGAGGCTAAGTTTTGCAATGTTTGTGCTAATACCGTGATATCCGCAACTTTTATTTTACTTCATGATTTTCCGTTCAACTTCTAGTTTATTTTCTGTGATCGGATTAAAACCGGTTTTCTACTAACGAAATTCGTCGCGCGAATCTTTTGTCTTATAAGCTCTCGGCTGGAACTAATTACATTTTTAATAAATTCTTTTCAATTTTAACAATAAAAAATTCGAAGAAATTCGTCAGTGGAAAATTCAGGTGGCTTGTTACCATGAACCCGTCTAAATGTAGGAGCATGGTTATTTCGTGGAAAAAGATAAAGCCTTAGTTACCACCCACCTTAGCCCCCTCCGCAGGCCTCTCTATGGGTTCTAGCCTGCGAATGGGTTTTGAAAAAAAAAATTTCTGGGAGAGAGGCCTGCCATAAATCGAACAAAATAGACGTATCTCAAATATTAGTGGCCGTGTTACGTTACCCCACCCCCTAAGTAGGCTTTTGACCCTAATTATATATTCAGTTTGAAATCTTCAGGCGAGGAGCGAAGCTTGCGAGTATTAACTTTAAAAATGTTTTAAAATGCATCGAAATATCCAAGTTATACGAAAATTAGTTGGTCAGTTGAAAGGATTATATATCGCAATGTCTCTCGCGGTCTAAAAACGACGTGCAAATTTAATTGAATCGCTCGCTCGAAGCAGCCAAATGTTTACAATGTATCAATTGTTCAGCCGAGGAACTACAATTTGAGGGAATTATCTGGCATAATTTCGAACGCAAAATGAAGAATGGAACGATACGAAAGGTATAATGTTTAATAAAGGGATTATATTAAATTATATTCTTTTCTGGAATATTATTTTGGCATGTTTATTTATATGAAGGGGTTGACATTTTGATTATATTTTACTAATTTTAGTCAAATCATCAGACATTGGGCAACATGTTAAGTGAATTGATATATAAAAGGAAAAGATCTTTCTGTTGAAGCAACCATTTCAATAAGTGAGGAGAGATAACAACTTGGAAATATCAACTACAGAAATTTGATTACTACAGAAATCAAGATTTTGTTGGCATCTTCAGCCTGGTTTACATATGCCTGCATTATCATTGTTTACAGCTGTTGATGCATACATTCTTTTGTGAATTATTTAGTTGAAGTTTTAACAACAATATGACATCCATGATTTGATAAATAAAGAAATTGAAGATGTATCTGTATATTCTCTAATTATATGTATCTCCCTTGTTCATGTTTAAATAAAATTGCTCTAGACATATATTTCTTTTAAATATAATAAATCTAGATTGGCATGATTCATGTAAGAGCCTACAATGCCAGGGGCCCACAACAAGTTCTTGCTGTCTCATCCCTTGTCGGCATGCCCCTGCTTTTACTCTGTCTAACATCAGACAATTTTACTATTCCAGCGGAGAGTGCAGATAATGGGTTAATCTAAAGCTTCACAGCTTACAATTAATATATACCCATCATTGAAAGACTTTTGAGTGGTTGTAATGTAACAATTAATAGCAAAACATGCAGGGATGCATTTACTGGGGGGGTGCACACCCCCCTCCCTAGCCCTGGCCAGGGTGTGTGTGTGCTATTTTTCATGATAAAGCAAAAAATATTAGACAAAATGAGATATTGTACACAGTACACTTGTACCACATGGAGGTTGTTTTGCCAAATTGTCAAAATACTGCTGTTGCTGTATGCTAATGGTGGGCTGCACACATGACGACACAACTCGAGCTGTGAACTTTGGCAAGCAAAATGGAATGTATGTAATGTCTCCAATGGTTAATTAACAAATCCAAGGCAAATGTTATTAAGACAGGTCTTTATACCCTGTTGCACCACATGGAAAACTATTAGATTCTTATTAAATTCCAGTTGTCCTTCCATTATGTCACACTGATTTAAGAAAGCTTTTGCTAATTTTCGCCATATCTGAGACTGTGAGACACTCAAGTTTGAAAAGTTTGTCTTTGTCCATTGGGACCAAGGGATAAATTGCACAGTGTATTCCACAATAAGAAAGCTATTTGTTTGAGACTTTTATTAATGATTTCCTTCCATACAAGCGTATTTATAAAACAAGGCAAGAGGTGTTTATATATCTAATACGCACGCACAGATGTCAACAGTTGAATTTACATTTATATATATGTATATATCAACGATAAACTTTCAATTGAAACCTTGTCTTGATAAATGTCTTGACATGAATCGACGACAACGTGAATTCACTGCTCTGCAAAGTCACTCGTCTCTAAACAATCCCAGTAAATCGCTGCGTCGGCTCTCGATAACGTTCTCAGCTCCTTAGTCAAAGTTCCCTTTGTATTTGCAACGTTGAAGACCAGGATTATTCGTTAATTTTACAGTTTTACTCGTCTTGTAAGCCATCGTGTTGAAAACAAAATTTTCTTCACTCCTTGCCGTAAGCCCTTCCTACTCCCCCTAAGTTTCGGTTGTCGAAATTTGCATGCGCGAGCCGGTATGCGCAGTGCAAATTTTTCTGTCGATTTATGGCAGGCATCTCACCAAACTTTTTCCCACCACCCGATTCGTCGGGTGAGATGCCTGCGGAGGAAGCTAACTGTCAACCATGAAATTCTTTTACGTAAGTTCGAACGGTATGGCTTTGGTAATAAAGCCCTAGATTTACTAAGTAATTACTTAACAAATCGAACACAAAGATGTCAGCTAAATGGAATGCTTTCAGATCAGAGAGGAATAACTTGCGGCATCCCTCAGGGAAGTATACTTGGCCCTCTTCTGTTTATTATCTATATAAATGATTTGCCAAATTGTCTCAAACATACAACACCAAGGATGTTTGCAGACGATACCGGCCTTACAGCTGTGGGCAAACGTTAAATGAAGCAGAAGAGATAGCGAATAAGGATTTGAAAAATATTAAAGTGTGGTTGTCTTCAAACAAACTTAGCTTAAATATTGCGAAAACGGAATATATTTTGATTGGATCACGTTCTAAGATTAATAGCATGGATGTCCAACACACAGTTAAGATCGACACATGTCCAATCAAAAGAGTAAAAAGCGCAAAAGTGCTAGGAGTTGAAATCGATGAGAACCTAAACTGGGAAAAACATATTGAATATATCGCTAGTAAAGTATTTTCGGGAATTGGTGCGTTAAAAAAACTTAAAGAATTTGTAGACCGAGATACATTAGTGCTGGTGTGTAATGCATTGATCCAGCCGCATTTTGATTACTGTTGTGAGGTTTGGGATGAGCTTGGCAAAGGCCTCTGCGAACGACTTCAAAAATTGCAAAATCGAGCGGCTAGAGTAATTATGAATTTTAAAAATGAGCATGGACAGTCTATCTTAGCTCGTACTGCTCTTGGTTGGACATCCCTTGAAGAACGTAGAGCATTAATGAAGGCCAAACTCATGTACAAAACAGTAAATCAATTAGCTCCACAAAGACTGTGTAACATTTTCCAATCTTCCAACACTGTAAATAGTTATAATTTAAGAGGTTCTTCAACTGGGCTTTTTATTCCAAGGCCCAGCACAGAATTTTTTTAAAAAAGTTTCAGTTACAGTGGGGCTAAATTATGGAATAGAATACCAGAAAATATTCGAAATTCGATATCTCACAATTCGCTTTGTAAAAACCTTTTCTCCTCGCCCTCGGCCTTATTAATTTAAGTAGTTTATTTAAATGAATATTTAATAGATTTATATAATAATAGTTTGTAAGTATTAATAAATTAGTTTTTAAATTGTAACAATTAGCCAGCACACCTCTCATGGAAATCAGCTTAGTGTTGAATGGGACTAGTGTGCTTAAATAAAGTTTATCTATCTATCTAAGATTCCTCACTCAGAAGACAAGGTTCCTCAGTGTAAAGCCAGGTTCCTCAAACTGAGGACAAGGTTCCTGATTCTGACGACAAGGTTCATCACTCTGAAGGCAGGTACCACACTCTAAGGACAAGGTTCCTCACTCTGAGGACAAGGTTCCTCACTCTGAGGAGAAAGTTCCTCAATCTGAGGACAAATTTCCACACTCTAAGGACAAGGTTCCTCACTCTGAGGAAAAGGTTCCTCACTCTGAGGACAAGGTTCCTCAATCTGAGGACAAAGTTCATCACTTTGAGGACAAGGTTCCTCACTCTGAGGACAAGGTTCCTTACTCTGAAGACAAGGGTCCTCACACTGAGGACAAGGTTCCTCACTCTGAAGACAAGGTTCTTCACACTGAGGACAAGGTTCTTCACACTGAGGACAAGGTTTCTCACTCTGAGAACAAGGTTCCTCTGTCTGAAGACAAGGTTCCTCACTCTGAGGACAAGGTGCTTCACACTGAGGACAAGGTTCCTCACTCTTAGAACAAGGTTCCTCACTCTGAGGACAATGTTCCTCACTCTGAGGAGAAGGTTTCTCACTCTGAGGACAAGGTTTCTCACACTGGGGACAAGGTTACTTACTCTGAGGACAAAGTTCCTCACTCTGAAGACAAGATTCCTCACTCTGACGACAAGGTTCCTCACCCTGAGGACAAGGTTCCTCACTACGAGGACAAGGTTCCTCACTCTGAGGACAAGGTTCCTCACTCTGAGGGCAAGGTTCTTCACACTGAGGATAAGGTTCCTCACTCTGAGAACAAGGTTCCTCACTCTGAGGACAAGTTTCCTTGCTCTGAGAAGAAGGTGCTTCACACTGTGGAAAAGGTTCCTCACTCTGACGACAAGGTTCCTCACTCTGAGGACAAGGTTCCTCACTCTGATGACAAGGTTCATCACTCTGAGAACAAGGTTCCTCACTCTGAGGACAAGGTTGTTCACGCTGAGGACAAGGTTGCTCACACTAAGGACAAGGTTCCTCACTCTGAGAACGAAGTTCGTCACTCTGAGGACAAGGTTCCTCACTCTGAGAACAAGGTTCCTCACACTGAGGATAAGGTTCGTCACTCTGAGGACAAGGTTCCTCACTCTCAGGACAAGGTTCCTCACTCTGAGGACAAGGTTCCTTACTCTGAAGACAAGGGTCCTCACACTGAGGACAAGGTTCCTCACTCTGAAGACAAGGTTCTTCACACTGAGGACAAGGTTCTCACTCTGAGAACAAGGTTCGTCTGTCTGAAGACAAGGTTCCTCACTCTGAGGACAAGGTGCTTCACACTGAGGACAAGGTTCCTCACTCTTAGAACAAGGTTCCTCACTCTGAGGACAATGTTCCTCACTCTGAGCAGAAGGTTCCTCACTCTGAGGACAAGGTTTCTCACACTGGGGACAAGGTTACTCACTCTGAGGACAAAGTTCCTCACTCTGAAGACAAGATTCCTCACTCTGACGACAAGGTTTCTCACCCTGAGGACAAGGTTCCTCACTACGAGGACAAGGTTCCTCACTCTGAGGACAAGGTTCCTCACTCTGAGGGCAAGGTTCTTCACACTGAGGATAAGGTTCCTCACTCTGAGAACAAGGTTCCTCACTCTGAGGACAAGGCTCCTTGCTCTGAGGAGAAGGTGTTTCACACTGTGGAAAAGGTTCCTCACTCTGAGAACAAGTTTCCCCACCCTGTGGACAAGGTTCCTCACTCTGATGACAAGGTTCATCACTCTGAGAACAAGGTTCCTCACTCTGAGGACAAGGTTGTTCACGCTGAGGACAAGGTTGCTCACGCTAAGGACAAGGTTCCTCACTCTGAGAACGAAGTTCGTCACTCTGAGGACAAGGTTACTCACTCTGAGGACAAAGTTCCTCACTCTGAAGACAAGATTCCTCACTCTGACGACAAGGTTCCTCACTCTGAAAACAAGGTTCCTCACTCTGAGGACAAGGTTCCTCACTATGAGGACAAGGTTCCTCACTCTGAGGACAAGGTTCCTCACTCTGAGGACAAGGTTCCTCACTCTGAACACAAGGTCCTTCACACTGAGGAGAAGGTAACTCACACTGAGGACAAGGTTCCTCACTCTGAGAACAAGGTTCCCCACTCTGAAGACAAGGTTCCTCGCTCTGAGAAGAAGGTGTTTCACACTGAGGACAATGTTCCTCTCTCTGAGGACAAGGTTCCTCACACTGAGGACAAGCTTCCTCACTCTGAGAGCAGGGTTCCACACTCAGAGGACAAGGTTCCTCACTCTGAGGACAAGGTTCTTCACATTGAGCGCAAGGTTCCTCACTCTGAGAACAAGGTTCCTCAGTCTGAGAACAAGGTTCCTTACCCTGAGGACAAGGTGCTTCACACTGAGGACAATGTTCCTCACTCTGAGAACAAAGTTCCTCACTCTGAGGACAAGGTTCCTCACTCTGAAGACGAGGTTCCTCACTCTGAGAAGAAGGTTCCTCACTCTGAGAACAAGGTTCCTCACTCTGAGGACAAGGTTTATCACTGTGAGGACAAGGTTCCTAACTCTGAGGACAAGGTTCCTCACCCTGAGGACAAGGCTCCGAACTCTGAGGACAAGGTTCCTCACACTGAGGACAAGGTTGCTCACTCTGAAGGCAGGTTCCTCTCTCTAAGGACAAGGTTCCTCACTCTGAGGACAAGATTCCTCACTCTGAGCGGAAGGTTCCTCACGCTGAGGACAAGGTACCTCACTCTGAGAACAAGGTTCCTCACTCTGAGGACAAGGTTCCTCAATCCGGGAACAAAACTTTTCACACGGAGAACAAGGTTCCTCACTCTGAGGACAAGGTTCATCACTCTGAGGACAAGGTTCCTGTCTCCGAAGGCAGGTCCCTCACCCTGAGGACAAGGTTCCTAACTCTGAAGACAAGGATCCTCACATTGAGGACAAGGTTCCTCACCCAGCGGACAAGGTTCCTCAATGTGAGGATAAGCTTCTTCATTCTGAGGACAAGGTTCCTCACTCTGAAGGCAAGTTCCTCACTCTGAGGAGAAAGTTGCTCACTCTGAAGGCTGGTTCCTCTCTCTAAAGACAAGCTTCCTCACTCAGAGGACAAGGTTCCTCACTCTGAGGACAAAGTTCCTCGCGCTGAGGACAAGGTTCCTCACTCTGAGGACAAGATTCCTCACTCTGAGGACAAGGTTCTTCACACTGAGGACAAGGTTCCTCACACTGAGGACAAGGTTCCTCACTCAGAAGACAAGGTTCCTCACTCTGAGGACAAAGTTCCTTACACTGAGGACAAGGTTCCTCAAACTGAGGACAAGGTTCCTCAAACTGAGGACAAGGCTCCTCACTCTGAGGACAAGGTTCCTCACTATGAGAACAAGGCTCTTCACACGGAGGACAAGGTTCCTCACACTGACAACAAGGTTCCTCACTCTGAGAACAAGGTACCTCACACTGAGGATAAGGTTCGTCACTCTGAGGACAAGGTTCCTCACTCTGAGGACAAGGTCCTTCACACTGAGGAGAAGGTTACTCACACTGAGGACAGGGTTCCTAGCTCTGAGAAGAAGGTGTTTCACACTGAGGACAATGTTCCTCTCTCTGAGGACAACGTTCCTCACACTGAGGACAAGCTTCCTCACTCTGAGAACAGGGTTCCACACTCAGAGGACAAGGTTCCTCACTCTGAGGACAAGGTTCTTCACATTGAGCGCAAGGTTCCTCACTCTGAGAACTAGGTTCCTCAGTCTGAGAACAAGGTTCCTTACCCTGAGGACAAGGTGCTTCACACTGAGGACAATGTTCCTCACTCTGAGAACAAAGTTCCTCACTCTGAGGACAAGGTTCCTCACTCTGAAGACGAGGTTCCTCACTCTGAGAAGAAGGTTCCTCACTCTGAGAACAAGGTTCCTCACTCTGAGGACAAGGTTCATCACTGTGAGGACAAGGTTCCTAACTCTGAGGACAAGGTTCCTCACCCTGAGGACAAGGCTCCGAACTCTGAGGACAAGGTTCCTCACACTGAGGACAAGGTTGCTCACTCTGAAGGCAGGTTCCTCTCTCTAACGACAAGGTTCCTCACTCTGAGGACAAGATTCCTCACTCTGAGCGGAAGGTTCCTCACGCTGAGGACAAGGTACCTCACTCTGAGAACAAGGTTCCTCTCTCTGAGGACAAGGTTCTTCACACTGAGGACAAGGTTCCTCACACTGAGGACAAGGCTCCTCACTCTGACAACAAGGTTCCTCACACTGAGGGCAAGGTTCCTCACTCTGAAGACTAGGTTCCTGACTCTGATGACAAGGTTCATCACACTGAGGACAAGGTTCCTTACACTGAGGGAAGGTTCCTCACTCTCGAAACAAAACTCCTCACACTGAGGACAAGGTTTCTCACTCTGAGGACGAGTTTCGTCACTCTGAGGACAAGGCTCTTCACACTGAAAACAAGGTTCCTCACTCTGAGGACAAGTTTCCTCACACTGAAAGCAAGGTTCCTTACTCTGAGGACAAGGTTCCTCACTCTGAGGAGAAGGGTCCTCCCTCTGACGAGAAGGTTCCTCACTCTGAGGACAAGGTTCCTCAATCTGGGAACAAAACTTTTCACACGGAGGACAAGGTTCCTCACTCTGAGGACAAGGTTCATCACTCTGAGAACAAGGTTCCTCTCTCCGAAGGCAGGTCCCTCACCCTGAGGAAAAGGTTCCTAACTCTGAAGACAAGGATCCTCAAATTGAGGACAAGGTTTCTCACCCAGCGGACAAGGTTCCTCAATGTGAGGATAAGCTTCTTCATTCTGAGGACAAGGTTCCTCACTCTGAAGGCAAGTTCCTCACTCTGAGGAGAAAGTTGCTCACTCTGAAGGCTGGTTCCTCTCCCTAAAGACAAGCTTCCTCACTCAGAGGACAAGGTTCCTCACTCTGAGGACAAGATTCCTCACTCTGAGGACAAGGTTCTTCACACTGAGGACAAGGTTCCTCACACGGAGGACAAGGTTCCTCACTCAGAAGACAAGGTTCCTCACTCTGAGGACAAAGTTCCTTACACTGAGGACAAGGTTCCTCAAACTGAGGACAAGGTTCCTCAAACTGAGGACAAGGCTCCTCACTCTGAAGACGAGGTTCCTCACTCTGAGGAGAAGGTTCCTCACTCTGAGAACAAGGTTCCTCACTCTGAGGACAAGGTTTATCACTGTGAGGACAAGGTTCCTAACTCTGAGGACAAGGTTCCTCACCCTGAGGACAAGGCTCCGAACTCTGAGGACAAGGTTCCTCACACAGAGGACCAGGTTGCTCACTCTGAAGGCAGGTTCCTCTCTCTAAGGACAAGGTTCCTCACTCTGAGGACAAGATTCCTCACTCTGAGCGGAAGGTTCCTCACGCTGAGGACAAGGTACCTCACTCTGAGAACAAGGTTCCTCACTCTGAGGACAAGGTTCTTCACACTGAGGGCAAGGTTCCTCACACTGAGGACAAGGCTCCTCACTCTGACAACAAGGTTCCTCACACTGAGGGCAAGGTTCCTCACTCTGAAGACTAGGTTCCTGACCCTAATGACAAGGTTCATCACACTAAGGACAAGGTTCCTTACACTGAGGGAAGGTTCCTCACTCTGGAAGCAAAACTCCTCACACTGAGGACAAGGTTTCTCACTCTGAGGACGAGTTTCGTCACTCTGAGGACAAGGCTCTTCACACTGAAAACAAGGTTCCTCACTCTGAGGACAAGTTTCCTCACACTGAAAGCAAGGTTCCTCACTCTGAGGACAAGGTTCCTCACTCTGAGGAGAAGGGTCCTCCCTCTGACGAGAAGGTTCCTCACTCTGAGGACAAGGTTCCTCAATCTGGAAACAAAACTTTTCACACGGAGGACAAGGTTCCTCACTCTGAGGACAAGGTTCATCACACTGAGGACAAGGTTCCTCTCTCCGAAGGCAGGTCCCTCACCCTGAGGACAAGGTTCCTAACTCTGAAGACAAGGATCCTCACATTGAGGACAAGGTTCCTCATCCAGCGGACAAGGTTCCTCAATGTGAGGATAAGCTTCTTCATTCTGAGGACAAGGTTCCTCACTCTGAAGGCAAGTTCCTCACTCTGAGGAGAAAGTTGCTCACTCTGAAGGCTGCTTCCTCTCTCTAAAGACAAGCTTCCTCACTCAGAGGACAAGGTTCCTCACTCTGAGGACAAAGTTCCTCACGCTGAGGACAAGGTTCCTCACTCTGAGGACAAGATTCCTCACTCTGAGGACGAGGTTCTTCACACTGAGGACAAGGTTCCTCACACTGAGGACAAGGTTCCTCACTCAGAAGACAAAGTTCCTCACTCTGAGGACAAAGTTCCTTACACTGAGGACAAGGTTCCTCAAACTGAGGACAAGGTTCTTCAAACTGAGGACAAGGCTCCTCACTCTGAAGACGAGGTTCCTCACTCTGAGGAGAAGGTTCCTCACTCTGAGAACAAGGTTCCTCACTCTGAGGACAAGGTTTATCACTGTGAGGACAAGGTTCCTAACTCTGAGGACAAGGTTCCTCACCCTGAGGACAAGGCTCCGAACTCTGAGGACAAGGTTCCTCACACTGAGGACAAGGTTGCTCACTCTGAAGGCAGGTTCCTCTCTCTAAGGACAAGGTTCCTTACTCTGAGGACAAGATTCCTCACTCTGAGCGGAAGGTTCCTCACGCTGAGGACAAGGTACCTCACTCTGAGAACAAGGTTCCTCACTCTGAGGACAAGGTTCTTCACACTGAGGACAAGGTTCCTCACACTGAGGACAAGGCTCCTCACTCTGACAACAAGGTTCCTCACACTGAGGGCAAGGTTCCTCACTCTGAAGACTAGGTTCCTGACTCTGATGACAAGGTTCATCACACTGAGGACAAGGTTCCTTACACTGAGGGAAGGTTCCCACTCTCGAAACGAAACTCCTCACACTGAGGACAAGGTTTCTCACTCTGAGGACGAGTTTCGTCACTCTGAGGACAAGGCTCTTCACACTGAAAACAAGGTTCCTCACTCTGAGGACAAGTTTCCTCACACTGAAAGCAAGGTTCCTCACTCTGAGGACAAGGTTCCTCACTCTGAGGAGAAGGGTCCTCCCTCTGACGTGAAGGTTCCTCACTCTGAGGACAAGGTTCCTCAATCTGGGAACAAAACTTTTCACACGGTGGACAAGGTTCCTCACTCTGAGGACAAGGTTCATCACTCTGAGGACAAGGTTCCTCTCTCCGAAGGCAGGTCCCTCACCCCGAGGTTCCTCACTCTGAGGAGAAGGTTCCTCACTCTGAGACAAGGTTCCTCACTCTGAGGACAAGGTTTATCACTGTGAGGACAAGGTTCCTAACTCTGAGGACAAGGTTCCTCACCCTGAGGACAAGGCTCCGAACTCTGAGGACAAGGTTCCTCACACGAGGACAGGTTGCTCACTCTGAAGGCAGGTTCCTCTCTCTAAGACAAGGTTCCTCACTCTGAGGACAAGATTCCTCACTCTGAGCGGAAGGTTCCTCACGCTGAGGACAAGGTACCTCACTCTGAGAACAAGGTTCCTCCTCTGAGGACAAGGTTCTTCACACTGAGGCAAGGTTCCTCACACTGAGGACAAGGCTCCTCACTCTGACAACAAGGTTCTCACACTGAGGGCAAGGTTCCTCACTCTGAAGACTAGGTTCCTGACCCTAATGACAAGGTTCATCACACTAAGGACAAGGTTCCTTACACTGAGGGAAGGTTCCTCACTCTGGAAGCAAAACTCCTCACACTGAGGACAAGGTTTCTCACTCTGAGGACGAGTTTCGTCACTCTGAGGACAAGGCTCTTCACACTGAAAACAAGGTTTCTCACTCTGAGGACAAGTTTCCTCACACTGAAAGCAAGGTTCCTCACTCTGAGGACAAGGTTCCTCACTCTGAGGAGAAGGGTCCTCCCTCTGACGAGAAGGTTCCTCACTCTGAGGACAAGGTTCCTCAATCTGGGAACAAAACTTTTCACACGGAGGACAAGGTTCCTCACTCTGAGGACAAGGTTCATCACTCTGAGGACAAGGTTCCTCTCTCCGAAGGCAGGTCCCTCACCCTGAGGACAAGGTTCCTAACTCTGAAGACAAGGATCCTCACATTGAGGACAAGGTTCCTCACCCAGCGGACAAGGTTCCTCAATGTGAGGATAAGCTTCTTCATTCTGAGGACAAGGTTCCTCACTCTGAAGGCAAGTTCCTCACTCTGAGGAGAAAGTTGCTCACTCTGAAGGCTGGTTCCTCTCTCTAAAGACAAGCTTCCTCACTCAGAGGACAAGGTTCCTCACTCTGAGGACAAAGTTCCTCGCGCTGAGGACAAGGTTCCTCACTCTGAGGACAAGATTCCTCACTCTGAGGACAAGGTTCTTCACACTGAGGACAAGGTTCCTCACACTAAGGACAAGGTTCCTCACTGAGAAGACAAGGTTCCTCACTCTGAGGAGAAAGTTCCTTACACTGAGGACAAGGTTCCTCAAACTGAGGACAAGGTTCCTCACCCTCAGGACAAGGCACCTCACTCTGAGGACAAGGTTCCTCACTCTGAGGACAAGGTGCTTCACAGTGAGGACAAGGTTCCTCACTCTGAGAACAAGGTTACTCACTCTCAGGACTAGTTTCCTCACTCTGAGGACTGGATTCCTTACCCTGACGACAAGGTTCCTCACTCTGAGGACAACGTTCCTCACTCTGAGGACAACGTTCCTCACTATGAGGAGAAGATTCCTTACTCTGAGGACAAGGTTCCTTACTCTGAGGACAAAGTTCCTCACACTGAGGACAAGGTTTCTCAATCCGAGGGCAAGATTGATCACTCTGAAGACAAGGTTCCTCACTCTGAAGGCAGGTTCCTCACTCTGACGACAACGTTCCTAACTCTGAGGACGAGGTTCCTCACAATGAGGACAAGGTACCTCACCCTGAGGACAAGGTTCCTCACTATGGGGACAAGCTTTCTCGCTCTGAGGACAAGGGTTCTCACTCTGAATGGAAGTCCCTCACACTGAGGACAAGGTTCCTCACTCTGAATACAGGTTCCTCTCGCTAAGGGGAAGGTTCCTCACTGTTACGAGGACAAGGTTCCTCACTCCGAGGGCGGAGTTCCTCACTCTGAAGACAAGGTTCCGTACTCTGAGGAAAAGGTACCTCACCCTGAGGGCAAGGTTCCTCACTATGGGGACAAGCTTTCTCGCTCTGAGGACAAGGGTTCTCACTCTGAATGGAAGTCCCTCACACTGAGGACAAGGTTCCTCACTCTGAATACAGGTTCCTCTCGCTAAGGGGAAGGTTCCTCACTGTTACGAGGACAAGGTTCCTCACTCCGAGGGCGGAGTTCCTCACTCTGAAGACAAGGTTCCGTACTCTGAGGAAAAGGTACCTCACCCTGAGGGCAAGGTTCCTCACTATGGGGACAAGCTTTCTCGCTCTGAGGACAAGGGTTCTCACTCTGAATGGAAGTCCCTCACACTGAGGACAAGGTTCCTCACTCTGAATACAGGTTCCTCTCGCTAAGGGGAAGGTTCCTCACTGTTACGAGGACAAGGTTCCTCACTCCGAGGGCGGAGTTCCTCACTCTGAAGACAAGGTTCCGTACTCTGAGGAAAAGGTACCTCACCCTGAGGGCAAGGTTCCTCACTATGGGGACAAGCTTTCTCGCTCTGAGGACAAGGGTTCTCACTCTGAATGGAAGTCCCTCACACTGAGGACAAGGTTCCTCACTC